GTTTGGTTGCCTGTTTGTCCTGTGCTTCTGAGGAAGGCTTGGTTGGCTAGTGAGCCGTTTGTTTCAGAGGAACCTTTGGTTTGACGCTTATGGTGATTCTAGTTTGTGATAGCTGGAATCTTGTTGAAGGCAAAGCTTTAGCAAGCTTTGTCTAGCTGCAGGTAATTTGTCGGGCACTGGTGAATATTTATCTGTTTTTGGACCTCCTGTTAATGCTCTTCCATGCATGGCCCATCATCCATCACTCTTCTCTTCAGTGTGTGTTCTCTATGATCTCCATCTTTCCTGTAAACTCTTAAAAGCTTCCTTAGGCACTGATGTTGCAGGGTTGCATCTCTTAAAAGTCTTCTTCAGGCACTAGAGTTGCTGGGTTGGAAAATGGAGACTGGGTGAACAACGATATGAAATTCAAACCGGTCAGTATGGAACATGTATATGTCATTTTGAACTTTGCATTTAAATATTATTCTGTGTTGGTTGCTATGTTTGGACGGTGTTCCTAGGGGGAACCCCTTTTTTAAGGGGGGGGGGGGGGGGGGGGTGTTACGACCCCCTTCACTCCACTAGGGGTCTCTGCCTTTGTGTTCTGCTTGCTGGCTCTTGTTTGTGTTTCAGGTGATCAACCTGATGAGCCACACCTGGGCCGTCTACATAAAAGGCCAACACCAACCCATACTGCGGGCTCACTCTTCTGTTGGACACGGCCGTGTCTTTGTTTCTGCACATTTTCACACACCCATGCACGCAACCATTACTGATAACTGACTTCCACATTTATTAGGTTTCTTTGAAGACCTTTGGTTTTTGTGGTATTGTAAATAAATATGCTTTTTGTTACACTTAACTTGTCTAGTCTCCCATCTTTGTTGCAGCATGGCTCAGTTATCAGTAAAGGTTGCGTGTGTGTGAAAATGTGCAGAAACAAAGACGCGGCCGTGTCCAACAGAAGAGTGAGCCCGCAGTATGGGTTGGTGTTGGCCTTTTATGTAGACGGCCCAGGTGTGGCTCATCAGGTTGATCACCTGAAACACAAACAAGAGCCAGCAAGCAGAACACAAAGACAGAGACCTCTAGTGGAGTGGAGGGGGTCGTAACAACATGTAAGAGGTTTATCTCTCATTCAGAAGTTTTAAGATTTCTTCAAATGCTGTTGCCTTGGCAACACAATGCTCACTATAAACACGGTTTTCTCACAACTTCAGTGAAAATGCTCGAAATGGCCCAAAACTTCACAGGTTTGGTAACAATGCAGCCATCAACACATCGCGTATTATGGGGTGTCATCAAATGCCGTTGCCATGGCGACAGATCATTCGCCATCAAGTTAGTTCAAAAGTTTGCAGTTCAAATATTCTGCTGCTTTTCCAAGCCTTTTTTACTTTATTTTCTTCTCATCACACATTCAAGCACCCAGTGTTCATGTATCATTTCAATCTAAATTCTTCACTTTCTTCTTATACATTACATTTCAGCATAGCAATTCAGCATCAGCTTTTCAGCATAAAGCATTCCCACTAGCAATTTCTTCAGGAATTGCATTCTCTAGTTATATAACTTGATGTACAAAACATTTTGTAACAAGGCTGTAATTTTTTTTTAAATATGCTCAACCAATCGGTCGAATTGGCCTTTTATGGTAAACTAGCAATATCACTTTTTCAGAGTTTCAGAGATGTTTTCCAATAAAAATATGGTAAACAAATGGCTAGATTCAAGGTAATATTACTAAATCTAGTACTGCCTTATGAGTCAGAGTGAAAGAGTGATAATAATTTATATAGCACCTTTCATGCATGAAATGCAGCCCAAAGTTGCACACAGATGAGCAAGTTAGGCCAACACAGGATATAGACATTTGCTGTTAGGCCAGGGGTTGGTTGTCAGGCCAATTCAGCATATACAGTAAGATGAGCAAGTCTTTTTTTTGATAATGAAAAACACTTAACATTACTTTTTTCCATCTCTATTTTTTTTATAATTTTTTTTTTTTATGAATATATCTGGTTGTATATATTGCTCATCTTCCATAAAAGAAAAAAATGTATTTCAGTTTGTGTTTTATTTGAATTTGATGCATACAAATACTGTAGCTTACTGTATGATTGTTGAAAATGCACTTTTACCATAAAAGGCCTGCTCAACCAGTTGGTAGAGGCTCATAAAAGCAAAACTTTGTGGTCAGTAAAACAAATAAAAATGATTTGTGGTTATGTGTGTCCTATTTGATAAGAAAATGCAAATAAATAATTTGGCTATGTTTGCAATAATATATTCAAAGGTCAGTAGTTATTTAAATAAATCAATATCTAAGGTTAGCAAACAGATACTGCCTTTAGAGAGCCATTGACACGAAGAATTGATCATGTGTTTTCAAATTGAAAATAAGGCACTATCAATTCAATTTCAACTATTTTAGTCTTAGAGACTCAACCTTTTTAAATAATTTACTGTAATTTAGGAACGTTTTTTCTGTACAAAAAAATTGAAAAATATAAGTTTAATAGGACGATGTGGATCTATTTTCTCTCACCTTGTAATTACACAATCAAATAATCTATAATACGGCTTTGGACATTTGTTTTAATGTTTTGCATTTGTAATATTTTGTATTCAATTTGGACAAATATCTTTCCAACAAAAAATATCCTATGATTGCATATGGTGTGAATATGTATACCCTGCTCACTCAGTATTATTTTAGGTACAATTTATATTTTAAATGTAATGAAAAAGCCAACTCAATAGTGTGTTAAAAATAGACTTTAGGATATTGTAAAACAAATAACTGCTATATAATGTATTCTTAATCCTCCTTTATCTTCACATTTACTTTACACCCTTTATCCTTGGTGGTCATTTTGACCCCAGGAGTTTAAAGCTCAAGAAAATGATCATATCCAAAATTGTTACCAAAATGTATGTTTCAAATACTTTATGTTTCTTTGTTGACTATCTAAATATCCATTTAAATAAAAACACTACCCTCTACCCACAGCATTACACATCCATAATTCCTATTATGTGACCATTGTAAAATATATAAATCACCATAAAATCTCACTGATTGACGTAACATTTTAAAGGATGATCTTTTTGCTGTTGTTAAAGGATCTATATTATTTCCAAGTACAATTTTGGCATTTAAGAAATGTACAGTATATTATCAAGGATAGTAACATGTATTAAGTTTGGTGTCAATATGGAAATATTTCCCTTCCAGTGTCAGCATTCCAAAGGCATGCCGTTGCCTCCCTTTTTGATTTCTACACTCCTGCCAAAATGAACAACCCAATGTGGGCTTGTAAATGGTTCCCACCCAACTCCTAACTGTCCCCATGCATGCACCTCACCTTTAAATTCATAATCTCAAGTATATTGTTTAATCAATCCTCTATTGATGGTGTTAAGAAGAGCTCAATGCTGACTTCAGGTCTTAGATATGGCTGACAGTGTATCTTGTGGGGCCTGGAGCCATTTTCATTACATTAGCATCACTAAACTTACCCTGTTCTTCACGTGGGGATTGGGACCAAGATAACTTTCAATTTTTGGAAAGTAATGTGTCTGCTTGTGTTTGAGAGACAACAGGAGCATCTGCACTGGGGTATTCAGGGTGGACTTTGACAGGATTTCTCTGAAAGTACACAATAAAAGTATTTTATAGTCTTTACTAGTAGTCTAACTACTGAGTCCAACATGATCAGTCTTCTTAAGAACTTAAAACTATTTGTATTGCTCATCACATATAGCAGTAAGACAGGCATTGTTGTACTATGGAGGGGACTTTGGCAGGAGAGTACTCAAGAAGGACACAGTAAAAGTATTTCATAGTATTTGGGATAGTTGTAACTACAACTGATTCCAACTTCATCAGTCTTATGAAAAACGTATGGCCAAAAATAATGTTATCGCTCATCAAAGATAGCAGAAGCTTGTCATTTTTGCACTTTGTAAAGGCAAAGAGTTAGAACCTTTATTTTGTAAACTAGCCAATCAGAAGCAATGAGGCACTGGAGACCCACCCACCTATGGAAACTAAACATTGGGTGTTTCTCAATGTCGATGACGCTTCCTTGGTAGGACATGTCTTCCGAGTCAGGTCCTTCAGAAGCGAGGCAATAATCCTTCCGAGCCTTGGAAAACGAAGAATTGTCGGAACAGGCTAACAGGTGTGCAGGTGTGTGTTATATGAGAGGCGCCGCCTTACATTTTCCGTCAAAGATTTTGGAAATTGGTCCGTGCGCAAAGCATTGTGGGGATTTTAAGACAGCGGAGGAAACACATCTGTTGGTCATACAGAGGGGTTTATGGGATGCTGCAATGCACAATCTGTTTGGTATTTTGAGCCAAACACTTCAGAGACATGTTTCGTATATATCTGATATTGATGAAAAACAGTATAATAGGGGACCTTTAAAGTACCAAAAGTAAAAGTACTTATTGTGCAGATTGGTCCATTTCAGAATAATATACATCATATGTTTTTATTATTGATGCATTCATGTGTTTATCAAAGCTGGTAAAGGTGCAGCTAGTTGTATTTACTTTGGATGCTGCATGCAGGGTAGCTTGTGAATTTACTCCAGGTGTCTGATTTAAGTGTTGATTATATTTTACATCATTAATCCAATTTTGCAAAGTAACTTAAGTCCCTCAAAATTGTTCTTAAGCACACTACTTGAGTAAATGTACTTAGTTACTTCTTTACATGTCACTTGTTAGACGCTTTTATCCAAAGCGACTTACATACTCAATACTGTGGACAATCCCCACAGGAGCAATTTGGGGTGAAGTGTCTTGCCCAGGGACACAACGACATGCTGCGGACAACCCACTACGCCACACGCCTCCCTAATTCACTCAGCATACCAGTTTATGCTGAGTGAAGTAAAGTACATACTCAAGTAGTAATCAGGTGACGAGGAGCCTCTGGAGCCTCATTTGACAGCATGGTGGTGGTGTCAGTCTGAGGGAGGGAGTTCATCAGGTGACGAGCAGGCACCAGGCTTTAGCAGCTAGAGGCTCCTCTCATTCACTGCTCAGCTCCGCGAACACTGTGCAACTAGCTCCCCGGCGGAGGGATACACTAAACTACCTGAAGAAAGTGTTTGAACCCCTGAGGCTCTACTTTATTTTTTGGATTTAGACCCTGTGAGGCTGCAGATTTATAAAACCTTTTTGGGTGTTTTTTGAGTGAAACTCCCTCGGCAAAATGGAGTCCTCTCTGGAGTTTTCCAGCTCTCTGGGCAGTGTGTCCTCGCTGCTGACCCGCTGTCGGACCTTTAAGGTGCTTGTGATAGGAGACTCCGGGGTGGGGAAGACCTGCCTCACACACCGACTCTGCGCCGGAGACTTCCCCAGCAGAGTGGAGGCCACCATCGGCGTGGACTTCCGCGAGAGGCTGCTGGATATCAACGGAGAGAGAATTAAGGTAGCCGGGGAAGTCATAATATTTAATAAAGACCTGTGGACCGTACAACAGACTAACAGTGCACAGGAATGCAGAAACACAATGGTACGCCGTTCTTTTATTTTGACGCGAAAATAAACAGATTAGTTATCAACGTTGTTGGCTCTTAAGTTGGGAACAAAGTGCAAAAGGCACCACCACCTACATGGGAGTAAGACATAGACATTTGCATCTTTTTGTAGGACATATTGTGTTCCTTTGTAGTCATTTTAGGTCTGTTCCTGGTAGGTGCGTGTCTATTTTAGTGACATTTTGTAAATAAAGGACAGGGGGGGGGCCCTCACACGTTGGGCCCCATGCCATGACCGACCATAGCACATTCAGTATTCCATCCATTACTAGATCACAACAAATGCAGTGCTCTTCAGGGCCCAATTCAGTTTAGGAGATGGACTAGACAAATAAAACAAAAGAACTCTGCAAGTAATAGAGGATGTAATATTCCTGCAGGTTATTTGAGACTGCCTCAGCCTTTTAACTGTGACTTTATCATGTTTTCTACTGCTTTCTTCATTTACTTTTAACACTCCTAGGTTCTTTAGTAATGCACTTTTCTGCAGTGTGGCTCCGCTGAGTTATTTGTGCCACACTGAACAGCAGAGAATCCTCTGGATGAAAGGAAATGAGCAGAGCTGCTGGTTTGCAGAACTAACGCAGCATGTAAATCACTGTGAAGATCACATACTTGATTCTTGTGGCATGTGAGCTTTTACATCAACGAGCTTCATTTGAGCCCCTCGTGTAAACTGTAAACACATGAGTGACTCTGTTTATGCGATGATATTCAATCTGTGGGTGTTGATCTACTTCCTGACTGTTTTGAAACGACCACATGATGGAGGAAGTGTCAGTAAGCGGTGACTAAAGTTATAAATACATCCTCAGAGGTTTCACGCTTTGTTCCCAATGGTTTGTATTGATAATGGAATGGGACAAAATCATATGCTCCTTTTCAGAGTGAGCTTGTATAAAGAAATATCTTCTAAAATGTAAGTGGATGTTGATAACGTGTTTTTTTCTTCTGCAAAGTCACTTTTTTACCAGGGCTGTTAATTTGACCCTGAGGCGAGTCAATGAAAGGTGTCTCCATTCAGGTCAAGTGTCACGTCAACTTTCATGGCACTCAAGTCAATACAAAAGTCATCTTAAACCAATTCAAAGTCAGTTAGCAAATTGAAGTCCTTTCAAAGCATAGAGCTAGCGATCCAATATGTTTTGTTATTTTATTTTGTTATTCTGTATGTTCATTTATCATGTTGCCTCTGTTGCATCTGTTATTTTTTTAGCGGGAGTGACACATCGTTGAAATGGAATCTAGCACTTAATTTATCATATTCAAGTAGAGTATGACAAAGAGAAAACAAATCTGATTTTTTGGGGGGAAATGTCAGATCATGTCAGGACCCTCACTCTTCCTTATAGACAAGATTGCAGCAACAAAACAAACAAACCGATATTTATTTCCCGTTTATTGTGCCTAACTTCAGATGATAATAAAATATCCGGTACAGAATTACTGTACAGATGGTCCAGGTCAAAATAAGGAGAACCTCTTCTTTTGATGTCGGTTTTTGAGATATGACAAAGGCCAACATGTGGCCTGCATCAGACTCCGCAGAGGTGTTTGAGGCTAGCTCATTGTCAGAAGAGCCTAATGCTACTAAAGCAGTTGTTGCTCCTACCGGACGCTTAAGAGACAACAGAAGTTGCTGCTAAAAAGAATCAATACAAATTTCACAGAAGTGTTAATCGTTGAAGCCAGCTGAGGTCCTTGAGCATAAAGACATAAATGAGTGCAAACTATTTTAGGTTTATTTGTCAATTGCAATACAGAAATAATCTCACAGGACATAACAAAACAAGAGATTGGACTTTCTAAAGATTAGATCAACTGACTAACTTATTTTGATGAATCACTGCATGTGTCTCGGTCTGGTTTGGGGTGTCTCAACACATGGCTCATTTCCCTCTCCGTGCCTTCCCTCTCATTCATTTCCTCTTTTGCACATGTTTACCTCTACCAACTCCGCCTAATGTGAATGAATTGACTAAATGTCATTTTCTCCCTTTCTCCTTTTTATCTCCCCCCTCCCCACCAGCTCCAGCTGTGGGACACGGCAGGGCAGGAGCGTTTCCGTAAGTCCATGGTGCACCACTACTACCGTAACGTGCACGCTGTGCTCTTCGTGTACGACGTCAGCCGTCCTAACAGCTTCAGCGGTCTGACTGCGTGGATCGAGGAGTGCAGGCAGAACTCCCTCGGGCAGGATATCCCCAGGTAATGTACTACTACTCCTAATAAAACTCAGGATAATTAGTTTTTATAATCATATACAACTTTTCTAGTCCTCCATCCTACAACCATATTTCTTTTTTTGTGAACCTTTTCCCCCCAAATCCAATAACACATGCTTTTTTTCTTTAGATAATTTTGGTGTTAATTGCAAAGTATTGGAGATCTTATCCGTAGAGATGTCTGCCTTCTCTCCAATGTATTGGACCTAGATGGCACTGGGCTTGTGGTTCTCAAAGCCCCAAAAACCACATTTTAAAAAACTCAACAACAAAGTATTTTTTTTAAGGAATCCTGACTCGCTTAATCGAAACAATCCACAGATTGTTTTGAGGAGTTTTATGTAGGAACTATTTTCTTTTTACCAAACTACACCTGCCAGCCGTTTCTCCGTGAATAATTAACGTTGTAACTAGCTAGCTAATGGTACAAGTTGCAGGTTAGCTAGCTCAGGAGAACCTCTTGTCCAAAGATGTCCGGTTCCTTCTGCGTAGTGACACAGTTGTTGGTTTTAATTCAGTTGAGAAAGAAAACTTCCTGGGGGGAAACCGCTCAAAACCGTTCTTTCTACCAAACTACAGCCACCAACTTTATCATCATGCAGAAGAAGCATCAGCTCACGGCCTTAAGAGGCCTGTGCTCACTCGTTGGTGGGTGTAGTTTGGTAGAAAGAAAATAGTTCCTACGTGACACTCCTCAAAACAGTGTATCTTTTGTAACAGAGTCATGATATCTGGAAATGGATTGACCGTGGAGATGTTGAACTTCTCTCCAATATAATGGATAATGGATGGTCGCAGACCCGTTTTGAGTGGGTCGCAGATGTGTGAGTGAAGACATTTTGAAAAAAAAATCTAACTTTTATTTTAAAGGCCCAATTTTCTAACGCTGTGCATGCAGTAGGCGTTGGACTGGAAGTACCGGAGACCATAAACGGTTTTGAAAACTTCTGTCACATAGTGATCATCTTCTCAATAAAACATCTTTGCTGATGTTTTTTTCGAGTCTTCTGGCCAATCAGAATCAAGATTGTTGCCGGAAGTCCCCACGGAGAATAACTTTGCGGTAGAACTCTTCTTTATACATCCATGGTTACAACTTCAGATATAAATCAACACATAATGAAATGTGACCCCCGGTTTGATGATTGACAGGTCACAGAACAATGGGAGCTATCTACCCTTACCCACAATTTAAAGTAATTCACACAGACTATCTCCTCTTTACTCTTCTCTCTGTGTGGATCAGCAAGCTCTCAGAACTAAGTGAAAAACAAACAATGGCATAAAATATTATAAATATGTCGGGTAGTAATACATTTATTTATTTTCTTCTCAGAGTGTACCAGAATGCGTAGTTTATTTGTTAGTATTTCTAAAAATCTCCTGGGGGAGAATCCCCCCAGACCCCCCTTCTGGGGTTGGGTTTTCAGCATGTGGGCCTTTTTATGTTATACAGTTCAGCTTTGATTTCATCTTCTTATTAAACCTTTTTTAAAAGCATACTTTAGTTCTGTGAAGGAATATAAGGGATATAAGGCATACAGTGTACTTCACTCTAATGAATATTGTATGCTGAAAAGCGTATATGGGGCATTCTACCGAATTTGTAAAAAAGTGCGGTCCCACAACAAGAAAAACTATTTAACAAAAAAAAACAATATTCAGACATAGATATTTACTAAGAATATGTTATGTTCTATTAAACATAAGGCATTAAATTAGATAGTGATAAGCTTAATATATACAAAAACATCATTTGTAGGGTCCTTTCTATTGGGAAGTAGCTGTCCCCAACCCTGACATCTAAATTTCAATTTCTGTAAATAACACTTAAAACATTTTTTAAAATGTAGTTCAATGGTGTATTTAGAAGATCTTTATGATTACATTCAAACAGAAGTTGGAATATTTAGATTTATTGTGGGTTTCATTTTTTAATGAAAAAACTATACTCAAAAAATCATGTCCCCAGTTTTCATGTCACTACCGAAACACAAGGGGTTTTAGTCCAATGGCTGAGCCTGCATTTTTGAAAAGGCAGTGACACTGTATCCCTGTCCCTCATGGCTGAATGGCAAGTAGCTATATCCCATACTTTTGATATAAATCTGTTCCAAAATCTGAAAATCTGCGTGTAACCTTAACAATTGTCACTACCGAACACATATTATGCAAAGTATTAGGTTTTTATGTGTACACCTCTTCAAAAACGTGTATGCTAGCCATGTACTTGCTAGCATTCTTTAGTTATGCTCAATTTTAGCTAGAGTCGTCACTACCGAAACAGTCACTACCGAAACATATGGTTACGTTTCGGTAACTGACATGATCGTTTCGGTAGTGACAAAATGGTACATCCCACCATTTTGAAATAAATGTGTTTTTAAAGTCTGAAAATCAGTGTGTTACTTTAAAGGTCTCTTATTATACTATTGTTAGGCATATATTATAGGTCTCAGATATATAAAAAAAACATGTCTATGAAGTGTTTTGCTCAAAATACCAAACAGATTACCCATTCTAGCCTCATCCTCCTCTATTTCAGCCTGCTACTAAAGTGCTGATTCTGGGTCAGTAGCTTCAAACATTCACAATTCAACATAAGGCATGTTATGAGTTAAGATTAAGCAATAATGTTGAGGGAATATGATACAACCTTGAGAACAAAATACTGTGGTCACTACCGAAACAGTGGATGTTTTGTAAAAAATAAAGTATATTGAGTTATCAACTAAAATGATATGATACTGATTGGTTTAATGTATGTTCAATTTCAACAATCATCAACTCTGGAATCAATATGATCAGTATTATGCATTTTACAAAGAAAGTTTGCATTATGATTTTTATGAATTGTATAAATTGAACTTTGCATTGAAATATTTGTTAAAATACTATTTAGAGAAGGGAAGGTAAACCAATCTTAACAGGTTAATATAATACTTTTTTACTACAGTGTATGTACTATGTTTCGGTAGTGACCATTTTTGGTAGAAAAATAAAAAATTCAAAACATTTCCAACCTGACTTTGCACCAATTCGGTAGAATGGCCCATATATTGCAGCACGAAATTTCGGGTCGCAATTTATTGACAAAGGAAAAAGTTGGTCCCGAGGCCTGACCAGTTGAGAACCACTGATCTGGATGGCTTGTCTTACACAAAGCAGCAAACAAATTATACCGAACTACATCCACTAACGAAAGAAAATAGTTCCAACATGAAAATGCGTATAGTTGTATATCTTAAGTATCGGGGTCATGATTTCTGAAAAATACATTACTGTAGAGTTTTTCAAAAATGATCTTTGTGGCGTATTTTCTGAGTGACTTTCTTATAACATCATCCTTTGTTTGCTTCTTCTGCTCCCAGGTTCCTGGTGGGTAATAAGAGTGATCTCCGTGACCCCAGCTGGGCTGACAACCAGGTGAGCCAAGAGTTGCCGATGACCTTCGCCAAGTCTCATGGCATGATGTTTTTCGAGACGTCCGCCAAGAACTCTCCAAACAATAGCGGCAACAGTCAAAGGAGTGGCCAGGAAGTGTCGTATCAGCAGGATAAAGTGGAGGACATCGTTTTTGCTGTCGCTGCCAATCTAAGGAGACAGAAGAAACCTGCAAGCCCCCCCATGAACGGGTCCTTTAAAATCCCGAACAAGAGAACACCGGAGAAAAACATGTGGACCTGCTGCTGAGACACAGAGGGCTTTTCAGATGGAAGAATGTTTTGAAGTGTGTGAACGTGCGTGAGAGAGATGACCATACTGTGCATAATGTTAATTTTTGACCAAAGACAGATCTAAAACTTTTTACAGTTTTTCTTTGGAGAATGAAGTTAATCCCACACAGAACTTTTAATATTTAAAAACTCTTTAATAATGTGAGACGTCCTTGTTTGAAATGTGTGTATATTTGTATCTTATTGTTTACAATGGGTGCGAAATAAAGACTCTGAATGTAAACATTATTTAGTAGAGCGTTGCTTTATGAGTAACTTTAGTGCAGCGGGGTTATGTGGGGTGGCTGTTTCCCACCACAGCATCGTGTCCAGATGGACAAACACCATGACCGGTCTGCTGGATGACTGCTGCTGTGTGGGCGTTATGCATCACATGTGTTGTGATTTTGTGTCGAATCGATGATTCATAGGACGTCACATGATGACAACTGTAGATCCTGCAACACACCAGAGGTACGGGCAGCTGAGTGTGTGTGCATGAGTGTGTTGTGTGTGCACATGCATGTGTCACGTTGGTGCAACATTCAGCAGCAATCTGGTAGATGTGTTTCTCTAGACTTAAAGAGGCCCTATTATGCTTTTTGGGGGGTTTCCCTTTCCTGTAGTGTATGGGTCGGCAATAAGCGGCCCGCGGGCCTTTGGTGTAGTGTGTTGTATAGGTTTTTCTGAATGTAAATGTTCAGTAAAGGCTAAAATCCCAAAGTTCCCCCCAGAAGGAGTTTCTCTCCCACACTCCCCCCCCGCCCAAGCCTGCCTGAAACACCTCAATTTGACTCCTTTGTTTAATTCTGTAACACTCGAGGTTCTATTGGCTAGTGCTCCAACACATTGTACTGATAGGCTAAGAGCTGGATATCTCTAAGCAGAGCCGACCAGCTAACCAATCAGAGCAGAAAAGGCTTTTTAAACATTAAAGCATGCAAACATGTCACAGTAGAGGCACAGATAAACCAATATTAACTGGAAAATGAGATTATATGATAAACTGGAGGAAAAATGTGTCTTATTTACCATTGCACAAACAATGAATACATGCTATGGGGCAACCCTGTCTCCTAAAAATTACGTTCCCACAGAACTAAACTGCATTCTGAATTACGTTTAGCTTGAAACGTATTTACTCCCACGTTACGTTCGTTATGAACGTATCTAAAATACGTTTATTTTCTACATATCTTCTAGAAACATATTTTCTCCCACGTTACGTTTCTTATGAACGTATCTTAAATACGTTTATTTTCTACATATCTTTGCCATTTATTGTCTTGCTTATAATAATGATAATAGTCATTTATAAATATCATTTTAGAGCACACCTTTGAAATCGAGAATCAGGCTCGATATATGGTCAGTATAAAATCAGTAGGCGAGGCTGTAATTTCGCCAGCTGTTACTCTCATGAGCGAGGCAGAACATAATAGTTTTAACATGACAAAAAGCTGCTGTGTCGTTTACCTCAAACATTAAAACAAATCCAGAGTTACGTGTTTCTGTACTTCCTCTAAGAAGAAAAGACAGTAAAAGAAGAGCTCTGTGGCTTCAGGCTTGATCGCCGTTCAAATGACAGCGTTGGTTTCCCCAAAAGTGGGCGGGGCTGTAAAGTGACGTAGATTTTACTATCATCTATTATTCAAAACCATTCTATTTATTCTAACGTAAATTACATGCCAGTGTTTTATCTTTTTATTTATTTGTTTTTATTTTAAATCGTATAAACGTCTGTGAGGAAAATAAATGGGGTTTAGAGCCTCAAAATACTGAAATCTGTATTTTTAAAAATCTTTTCCTTCTAATTTGTTATTCTTTTCTAAATAACACACTGTTATTTACTCAACAATAACACACAATTATCCTTGTTTTTATTTATTTGTTTAATTCTATAATCTTGGGCTTTTTAGCCGTAAATAAAGTCACCAGAAACAGACGGGACATTTCGAGATTTAGGATGGCCGAAGACACTACACTACCCATAATCCCCAGCTATCGTTTGGGACTACAGTCCCGTTGACAAACCCCGTGATGTTGGAGTGGCAGTGCGCCAAGGTTACGCCGAGCGTCAAGCTCTTTGAAATGGAACGAAACCACGGCAGACTATTCAAAACTGGACTCGAACGCCCCCCGAGAAATACACATGCTGGCTATTGTGTTTCGCAACATGTTCTCTATGGCACGTCTCTACTGGGAATTGTAGTTTTAAAAGACGTTTTCCCCAAAATTAGAAGTTGCCAGTATTAAACTATGTACAGCCCTGGAGGTTTAGGCGATAGGAAACACATTGGTGTGTACACATTTAAAACATGTAATTACTAAATGGGTAAAAATCGCTTATATCCATAATGGGCAGCATTAATATATACCCACACGACAGCTCATTGTTACTTTGTAATTCTACTCCACTACAATTCAGAGGTTAACCTGGTATTTTTACTCCACTACATTTAGTTTAGTTACTTTGCAGATTCTGATTAATGATGTGAAATATAAACAACCCTTAAAGCAGACTTTAGTTACACCTGAGTAAAATTCAGGGAAGGTGATTGTCAAGTGCCAACAATCAGGAGAGATATTTGATAGGTGGTGCTTGAGAAGACGAAACATTTATCTGCAGATCTCTATAAAGTATATTCATTACTCGTTATTCTCTACTAATAGTTAATTAAAAACTGTATAATGGCTATTTTGCACATTCCTTTCAAGATTTCAAGATTTTCTAAGGTTTATTGATCATATACACAACTTGGGTCGCAGGTTCCTCAACAGCGCATTACAAGACATCTATCAATATGTGTGTACCTCCACCATTAAACTGTCATATTCTGCACATTTCTTATTCTATCTACATACATAAGAGTATAATTAATGTGTATAATATCAGTTAAAATAAGTGCTTCAACATAGTTAACATTGCAGGAAAGCAATATATTAGACGTTAAGTACTTTGTCAGGCTTAATATTCATCGGTAGATAGATACCCCCAAAGCTTTTTTCTTGTTTAAAATAAGACCTTAACCTAAAGTATTCTTTAATGTGTTAATAAAGGTTAATTCGTTTTTCTGTTTTGCACATCCTCCTATTAATATCTTTGTACATCCGGCACTAAACTGTTTTATTGTAGAGATCACTTATAGTATCTTCTTGACTTTTTATATTCTATATTTCTATCATTGACCTTCTACTTTCCCCCTATGAAAGTATGTACTCTTAATATTGTTTTCATCAAATAACATTATTCAACAAAAATAATTCAATAACGTGCTTTAACCACTAGGCGGTGCACACAAGGTACACACAGCATACTAATAATAACTTTGTATTATTAGTGTAGAACACTTATGTATGTATAACATCTGAAGATGTGTAGTTTTATTCATGTTTTTACATAATTTTACAGGATATTGCTATATTATTTCACATGTTTTACTTCTACACATTAATATCTGATTTGTAAAATATCACAGACAGAAAGGTATATCCGTCATTTAATGGTACGCTATTGAAATTCTGAATCCATAGATGTGTCTCCCATCACCCAAATCCCCTGACTATTCTCTCAACTCAGTATTTACATTCTTATATTCAAAGAAAATCAGTAATATCTTTAAAAACTACAAGTCCTTTTCTATCAGCTGTGCACCGTTATGGTGTAAATATAACCTATTATCTACCAATTGGATCAAATATAAAAGTCAGCCGAATTACTATTGATACTGCAAGGAGACGTATTTTGTGAAAAGAAATTGAAGATGTTGTTTAATTGTTGATATATTTATGATCCACATCAAGTATTCAGTTTTGGCGGCAGTTCCTCATGTTTGTCTAGAAGTCTTCTCATCAGGGCTCTATAAATAAAGAACTACGGCAGATGTATAATATTTAATGCAGCCGAACCGTGTATTACAATGCCGTTATGTGATGAATTCCAAAGAGAAAAGCAAGAACACTCTGAATTAGGTATTATTTTATTTTTCGTTTTCGGATATCACAACTTATTAACACCATATCCCAGCGTTTATTGCGGCTAAAACATCCAATCAACGAGCTTCAAGCTGAGGATCTTGGGTAATCAGTTCGGTGGGTTTGTGGTGTGTATCGCTCGAAATGTCCCGTCTGTTTCCGGTGACTTTATTTACGGCTAAAAAGCCCAAGATTATAGAATTAAACGAATAAATAAAAACAAGGATAATTGTGTGTTATGGTTGAGTAAATAACAGTGTGTTATTTAGAAAAGAATAACAAATTAGAAGGAAAAGATTTTAAAAAATACAGATTTCAGTATTTTGAGGCTCTAAACCCCATTTATTTTCCTCACAGACGGGAAAAAAGTCCGACATTATACGATTTAAAATAAAAACAAATAAATAAAAAGATAAAACACTGGCATGTAATTTACGTTAGAATAAATAGAATGGTTTTGAATAATAGATGATAGTAAAACGTCACTTTACAGCCCCGCCCACTTTTGGGGAAACCAACGCTGTCATTTGAACGGCGATCAAGCCTGAAGCCACAGAGCTCTTCTTTTACTGTCCTTTCTTCTTCGAGGAAGTACAGAAACACCTAACTCTGGATTTGTTTTAATCTTTGAGGTGCAATAAACGACACAGCAGCTTTTTGTCATGTTAAAACTATTATTTTCTGCCTCGCTCATGAGAGTAACAGCTGCCGAAATTACAGCCTCGCCTACTGATTTTAATATAACCATATATCGAGCCCGATTCTCGATTTCAAATGTGTGCTCTAAAATGATATTTATAAATGACTATTATCATTATTATAAGCAAGGCAATAAATGGCAAAGATATGTAGAAAATAAACGTATTTAAGATACGTTCATAACGAACGTAACGTGGGAGAAAATAAGTTTCTAGAAGATATGTAGAAAATAAACGTATTTAAGATACGTTCATAACGAACGTAACGTGGGAGAAGATATGTTTCTAGAAGATATGTAGAAAATAAACGTATTTGAGATACGTTCATAACAAACGTAACGTGGGAGAAAATTAGTTTCTAGCTAAACGTAATTGAGAATGCAGTTTAGTTCTGTGGGAACGTAATTTTTAGGAGACAGGGTTGTATGGGGTGAAACAAATTAATGAACAGTTAAAATATCTCAGTTTTGCTGACCGTTTACTTTGAACTACATCATCATTTATGATTTAATGTTTGTGGAAGCAGAGTTTAGGTTTGCAGCACAATTGTATCTACTTCCAAGGTGCATGGAGAAG